CTAGGGTACAAAGAAAAGAAAAGAAAAGAAAAGAAAAAAGGAAAATACGAGATAAAGCTAGCGCGATGAAATATATCAAGTTCGGCTCGTGCATCGCAAAAAAGTTAGAGAAACAGGGACAGTACGCAGGACCCTCGTGCAAATTGAGCTTATATCCGCGCGTCGATCTGCTGACCTCTCGGAAACGTGCGCCATCACCGTCGTGAATCGAAAGGGCACAAGTCAAATGGAGCAGCACGTTGAAGCCACGATTTCGAGGAGCTTTGCCGAGATATTCTTTGCCCCCGGACACTACACACCCCGCAGAATCGTTCGTAAGCGAGAAAACAAAGTATTTTTGTGCTTCTTACGAGCCATTAGAAAGCCAACGGAGTCTCATTAATTGATGAAATATGCGAGAAGGAGAGTGAGAGAAAATGCAGCGAAATAATGCTCTCAAGATAAATGCGATTACGGGCGAGAGAAAACAACCGGAAAAACATCATTAATTTCGAAGCAGTCAACGGATTAAGCTGTTCTGCTACTTTCTTACGTTCTTCGTGTGTTAGCTGTGAGTCTGAATAGGTTCCTCTTGCTTTACTTAAAGATGCTCGCGTGCCGCAATTACCAAGACGTAAGCTCGTTACGACAAAGAGCCAACGAACTTGGAAAAGGCGAGAGACGTTTCGCTTATCCAATGGCGTCGTTAACCGATTCGTTTCTTCTTCTCCGATTGTCGTGAAACGGAGGACAAAGAAATGCCAATCGAAGTGGCAGAAACGCAAAGGACAAATAGTCTTGCCTCGTGGCTCGCAGCGCGCACCGCGGAGGCTTTTCTTCGGCGATAAATTAATAGCCCGTGTTGCTTCGAGCGAATTCTATGAAATAAAGGCAAGCCAATAGAGGGCTAAAAATAACAGTGAAAAGTGACGCGGCAATTCGTCGTGGCCAGAAGAAAAACAAGAGGGATACTTTCGATAGACGGACAAAAACATCGCGGGAGTCGATAACGAGGTGAGGCACGCGGGATAAACGGGCGGGTGCAAACGATGCCAATCGCGAGACTGACAAATCAGCAGAGAGAGAACTTACGGAATCATTACGCTACTGCCGCTGCAGTCATGGATTTTCAGGCACGAGGCAAGCCATTAATAACGCTTCTCCGCTAGCGTTTGTGTGCAGTGCATCGGTATACCTATAGTAGCCAGCTTTACATTCTGGCTGTGTAGGTGCATTCCGTGAACGATCTTTTGACTCGCTCGCTACTCCGCGAGATTATGTGCAATCGATCCCGTTTTACGTTCAAATGGATGCACCCGCGCTTCTAATGCTCCCTGCTTTACACAAATTTCGTTTGCATCGACGTCGTTTTTCTTTTTTATGTTTTTTTTTTGGCTTTTTATAGTTTGCTTGTACAAGTTATGTAATGTGGAAATGTTATCTGATTGAATGAATTTTAAACGCTTATTATTTTGTACGGTGTTGCACGAGTCTTTGAGTAACTAGCTTTTCATCGGTCAAAGTTTACAGTTGCCCGTCGATAACGATTGAATCTGTATTTCTCGATGGAAATTTTCTCTTCTCGACCAGCAGATATTCGCGCGAGAACTTTGAATATACGTACGCGCGAACGAAATAATTGTTACAGCTTGATTGTGAAAAAAAGTTGATTTTCGCCGAGCGGAAGCTTCGGTAAAACGTAATTTCGGAACTGAATAAACTGTTCAACAATTGCAGAAAGAATTCGCAAAAAAAATGTTTCATTAAAGCGACCAGCGCGAACGGAATATGAAAATAAAAGCAGAGACAATTCTAGTGAAAACAGAACAAAATGTTCAAGTGTCTTTTGCATAGGAAAAGTAAGCAAGCACAAGCGTACTAGGTTTCGTCGCTAATTAACGAAGCAATTATTTCGCCAAAGAACTGAAGCGACGTGGCGTCACCGGCAGTGGAAACCTGCACTCACCACCGAAGAGCGAAAAAGTATCGGTGAAATTTTGCAACGCGGATAAGTGAGTAATTGTTGAGGGTAAAAAAGTGATAGGTATACAGAAGGTTGTAATGACCAAGGCAATCGTATCAATTTGCAGTCGTACGGCGGTCTGTGTGTACGTGTTAGCTGCACTAGAGTTCCCAGTGCATAGCGCGAGCGAGGGCCATATCCTCATTTATCCAATGTCCTAGGCCAATTTGCCAATCGAGCCAATCATCCAGTCGTATTAACCTTGCTGCGGCGGCAGTTCTCTCTCTCTCTCTCTCTCTCTCTCTCTCTCTCTCTCTCTCTCTCTCTCTCGCTCCCCCCTTATTGCCCGGTTCCTGCCTCGTATATATGCACACTGCGCGCCATTGTTGCGTAATGGCCTCGAGGCTCTTTTGCTCTATCTTTTTTTTCGTCTCCGTTGCTTGTTTTTTTTTATCTCTGTTTACCTCGCGAGTCGGTCTTTTGCCGCGGTCGAGGACCTTCTCTTCCCATGGCGAGCTTTCGTTTGCCCGGTCTAATTTGAGGTGGGCGCTGGCGCTGACTCGCGTTTACATCAACTTCTATTTCCTGTTTAGGTGCTCGCTCGGCTTTCAAGCTCGCAGCGCCGGATACGAGGTACCGTCGTTTCTTCCTCGCAGTTCATTATCTTGCCTGGCGATGTCATCCGCGTACAGCTGCCGACTCTGCTGCGCGCCTGACCGCGCACGCCTTGTTCTACTGAAACGCATGAAGTCGATTCTGAAGTGGCGGCGCTGAATAAACGAGGCTCGTCTAATTTAACCGTGCCGACAAGATATAAACTTAACGGTGGAGCATAGATTGTCGGCTGTGCATTTGGCTTGGCGGCAACTTAGAATGGGGCAATCAATAGTGAAGCTCAATTTGCATCCGTTCGTCCGTGTAATCATTATCAACGGCGATGGGGGAGCACGGAGCTGACGAATAGTTTGCACCGGAGTCGCGCGCTCAAACACTCCAAGGATTTCGTGGAGCGGCGCGCAAACTCCGCCGGCGCGCGGCCCTTTTTGCAAGGGCGTAAATTCGGGCCGGGCGCTGACAACAAAGACGCGTCACTTGTCCGAGGCCGAGCTCGCTTCTCCCGCTCTCCCGCGCGCGCAAAGTCACGGATTCACTTTGTATGAGCGCGCGCGCCCGTTTATCTGCCTTTGCCAGTCGACGCAGCCTCGCATTGTTGCAACAGCTTCTTTTGTTTCTCGCCGCCTGTCTTTGCGACCAATTTTCTAGGCGCTATCTCCGCTGCGCGAGACAAGTGGTTTGTCATTTCCACGCGCTGCTGCCGTCGACCGCTCGGTAACTCTGTGCATAAACACGCGTCTTATCGCGAAATTCCGATTTTTCTGCATCGCCTGCTCTCGCTCGTGGCTTTGACGTCAAAGCGAATCACACGGCCGCCGCGCAGCCACAGAGTCATTTTCGCAATGGCTTTTCTTCGGCTTCATACGCAGACTTGATGTGTTTTGTCTTTGAGCGAGAATTCCACGAGTCTATATGTATAACAGTTTGTGCGCTGAAGTACGTTGTAACGTGCTTTTCAGAGAATACTTGCTGTACGAAACACATCAAAGCAAATAACTGCATTGCCTTTGCATAGTCGTTCTGTAATCAATTTTAACTTACATCAGCTTTGTATTTCTCGCGACGGGTTACCTATTTTATTTTCAAGTATTCATTATGATGAAATATACATTTTATTTTTATTTCTAGTATGAAAAATTTATTAATAATATAGCTTTTTCAGACTTATTTTTTGAATTGCACTTTTACGCGTGTGATATATATATATATATATATATATATATATATATATATATATATATATAGTTAATGGAGAATATTTTACGATCGAATTTCCCGGCAACACCAATATTAGCTGCTATCTTGCGATTTTCGTAGAAGCCAGAAGAGTGAAAAACAAAAAAGAAAAAATAAACGATAAAAATTGAGTGAATCTTGGTAGAAATTTAAGAGGCGGGTCTTGAGATTAATGGAACACTTTTTGCCTTCTCTCCGTACAAACGCAAAAAGTACGTCTTTTCAATCATCGCGATATTTGACGTTTACCAGTACGGCCATGCGCGTGACAAGGCCGAAACTGGAGCAGTCGCGCGGCGCTCAAAACGCAAATCGGCCGAGTGATTAAGTGGCCAGCGGCGGCGAGGTGCTGGATTAACGCAAGCTCCGACGCGGCGGGCAAAGCGCATAAATTCATGCCCGCGAACAGTGTCAACGTTAACGAGGACGTGCGAGCTTACCCGAGGGACACATCGCACGCTCAACGCTCTCTTTTCGTCCGCACATACTTCGCTACATTTCTTTTCGGAACTTTATATGTAGAGTTGCATCGAAAAATGCTTTCAACTGCTACATCGTATTTTCACATTTTTTAGGATTTTTAGATTAATTCAAACTTTATTCTAATAATTTCGTATAAAGTGTGTGTGTGTTTCTAACAAAAGTAACTAGAAAAGTCAATGTTTTTAGGATAGACATAAGATTTAAAAAGTAATATTGTTTTTTATAATATATACAGAACATTGCAATTTTGTTCGTATAATTTATCTGTAAATACGTGTAATTTATTTGAGTCAATGCAAAAATTATACACATGTCAAGAATTTTTTCAAACTCTAACCTCAAAGTCGCACCTTTGCTGCTTACCTACGGCTATTATGTTCAAAAGTAATATTTGCACAATGTACAAATGTATAATGCTTGGTTGGATAATAAATCGCATTTTAGTGAAGTTATAACTACAAGAAATAAATAAGGAACGGTAAGTAATCACTGTTGAAATGAATAAGAACTTACATTGTTAGATGACATGTGTTTATAAGATGTATACTATCACAGGAGAAATTTCAATATAAATAATAGTGTGGAGAATAGTGTGGAGAAATTTCAATATAAATAATAGTAAATAATACATTCTTGGAATTCGACAACTTCACCAACAAGTAAATATATATTATAGACAATAACTATGATTTATAATAAAATGGCAATAATATCGTTCGGAATAGTTATTTTTCAAATTTAAACATTTAAAGATGTATCTTTTTAATAAGAACGGGAGTAAATATTTTTTTGGAATTTTACGCAAATTAATAATTCACTAAATAATTTCTATATTTTTAGTTATCGCGATAATACGATATAATCGTGAATTGTCGAAATTAAATTATGCATTTAGAAAAAAATATCCCTAGAAATGAAAGAAGCCAAAAATATTAAACTCTTTAAAAGCAATTTATTGCACAACATAAATATTTTCTACGAAAACACTACTCCTTGCCTCGTACGCCTCAATATTACGAAAATTCTAGAAAAGCCATTGTGTATCAATGCCAATGATGACACAATGCCAGAAGTTTCACGTGATGCTTTACGTATATAGTTTATTAATGATAATCACCCAGATAACTTTTACGTTTATCTATTGACGTAACCTACGTCAGCTTATCAAGCTCAATCATCTCCCCAGTCGAGTTACTTATATCAGTAGTCTATTGTGAATCACACAGCTAACATCGTACTCTACTAAACTACTCTATCAATGTTCTTCGCAAATAACATTAAATACTATCTATCGTAGTGTTTTGATTAATTTAATGAAAATGACGAGCGAACGAAAGAAAACTTTGCTGTTTTTGTTTATATTTTCTTTAGTCTCCCTAGTCCATTCATATAGAATATTAGGTGTATTTCCACTTAATGCTAAAAGCCATTTCATAGTAATTGAGGCAGTGATGAAAGGTCTAGCAAAGCGTGGCCATCAGGTTGATGTTATATCGCATTTTCCACAAAAAAAGCCTTTGAAAAACTACATTGATATTATAAACTTGGAAGGGACAATGGAAACGTTGGTGAATAATTTTACATTAAATTTCATACTTCAAACAAAAGATGACGATACTCGTTTTATTGCTGAAGAGTACGGCAATCGTTTATGCCATTTTATGGGTTTTGAGGAAATGCAAAAATTGATAAAGAATCCACCTGAAGATCCCCCTTACGATCTTGTTATTACTGAGGTAATTTTGTACAACATTTTATATGTATTTAAATAATCTACGAAAATAAAATGATACTTTTTATAATTGCTTATTTTTATTTTCAGGCATTTGGTGCTCATTGTTACATGGGACTTGGATATGTTTTTAAAGTGCCTGTAATAGCCATATCATCTGCAATAGAATATCCGTGGGTTAGTTATTTTATTGGAAATGACGACAACTTAGCTTACGTTCCTAATGCCTTACATATTGGTGCTGGTCAAATGAATTTTTACGAACGATTGAAAAATGTCTTTTTGAATTACATTGAAATGAAAAAATTTCACAAAGTCACAGAAATAAGTCAAACGGAATCTATGCGCAAATACTTGAGCCCTGATATTCCTAATATTCGAGAGATAGAAAAAAATGTAGCTTTAACTTTGGTAAATAGTAATTTTGTATTATCGGGAATTAAGCCAACAACGCCTGCTTTAGTTCAAGTAGCAGGCATTCATATCAATGCGGAAGATCAAATTTTATCAGCAGTAAGTGATTTTTGTTATCAAATAGAAATCTAGTGTTGATTATTCAGAAAAATAAATACTCAAAGTTTAATCTTGATATCCGAAGAATCTTAAAAAGTGGATGGATGAAAGCGTTCACGGAGTTATATATTTCTCATTTGGATCAATGGTATTGATAGAAAGTTTTCCACAAAACCAAGTGAAAGACTTTTATGCTTGTTTTACAAAAATCGCACCGATTAGAGTTTTAATGAAAATTGCAAATGACACAAATTTGCCTAAAGCTTTGCCTTCAAATGTTAAGACCTTGTCATGGATTCCTCAACAAGCAATTCTTGGTGAGTTCGCCGTTGAATGTATTTTCGGTACTACATTTAATTGATTGGATTACTGCTGTATTTTCCCAGGCCTATTATTAGAATTATAATAGATCGTTTTACTCGACATATCCATTATTTTTAGCTCATCCGAATACAAAAATATTTATCACTCATGGTGGACTTGGTGGAGTGCAAGAGGCTCTTTATTTTGGTATTCCGATGATAGGAATTCCACTTTTTGGTGATCAATTTCGGAATGTAGAAGTATTTGTAGCAAAACAGACTATGTTAAAAATTGACCGCGAACAGATATCCAAGAAAACCTTGGGCTCGGCTATTGATGCACTAATTCATAATTCTATTTATAAGTGAGTAGTTATTTATTAGAAATTTTGTAAAAAGTAACATTGGTTGTTAATGTGATTTTTAATAATAGGGACAAAGTAAAGTACTATTCCAAGTTATTTCGAGATCAACCTATGAGTCCTATGGAAACTGCAATATATTGGATAGAGTATATTATTCGAAACGGAGATAAAGTACTGAGATCTCCAGCTCTTGAGCTTTCATTCATTCAATTATCCCAACTTGATATTTATGGATTTTTATTAATCGTTACCATCAGTATTCTATCTATGTTGATTATGTGCGTTAAGTTCCTAATTAACATATTTAAAAATAAATTTATTTCAACAGCTAAAACTAAGAAAATTCTAACTAAAAAAACCGAATAATGTCAATTACTGAGTAAATAAAATAGCCAAATTATATCATAACGTAAATTTTTTTGTTCAATTACCGTCTTCCTAGTATTCAAAATAATAAAAACCAGTTACCTGATATAGCAATACTAGTCAACATTAACCAAACGTAATATTTATCAAATATTTGGTGAAATAAGTCGCGTTAATTTATTTATCGAACTTATAAAAAACCATTTTATTATTTTAAGAAGTTTGCTCATTTACAAGTTTCGCTGAAATAAACTTGAATCTCGCAAACTGCAGCAATGAGAAGTGAAAGCAAAGATCAAATGTAAACGTTGAATAAAAGCAGGCCATTCAAAGGTTTCTGTCGTTCGTCGATAGGGAGAAAAAAAAAACAGAAGCAAGTCCACCCCCGCCTGTTGATCCATATTCATCTCTCTCGGTTGTGCTCTTTTTTTTCTCTTTGGATCTCAATCAAAAAATGTCGTGGGCCGATTGCAAGGAAGAGAAATACCATTCTCTTTCCTGCGAACGTTGGCAGAAGAGGATAAAGAGAACGACTCGTTCGCGTGGGGGGTTACGCGCTTGTCTTTCATTATCTTTGCGCAACTATTCTACTTTACTATTCTACTTCAACGATCGTCAATCCTAGTTTCTCGAGCCAAACAAAATATTGGTTTTTTTTTCACCATGAGTACGAATAATAAATTGTGATGACACATTGTTTGCTGAATTTTCGATCGATGTTTTTTCGCCGATAAAAAACATTTTTAGTGTCGTTACGAAAGAATAACTCCAGTCGTCCGATCTTCAGTCTTAGCTAAGTTAGAAATTCAAGAAAGCTTGCATCATTCTTGAGAATAAGAATTCCGCGAAGCTACGCGACCAGCTAACGAAGTTTTGTCCAAGTGCCAAATTGTACAATCGAAGTCTCAGAGCTTGAGAATAAAAGTATTACAAGGTTAAACTTCCAAAGCCTAATGGAATTTCGAATCTACAATCAGTTGAAGATTGATTGAGAGAAAAAGGAAAAGAGCAGGCGATGCTTCTTGGTAAGTAAAAAAACAGCGCAATGGATGCGCAAAACAAGCGAGCGGCACGTAAGCTCCGTTAACGCCTGGAAACTCACCGAAAATGACGAAGCTCATGAGGCCGTCAAGCGATTGCAGCATCGGTGTACTAACAGCAGCGGCGGTGGCAGCAGCAGCAGCAGCAGCAGCACCAGCAGGGCAAACAAACAAAAGCCCACGAACGATCCTCTTCCGCACAGACACGCACAACTCCGGACCGACTGCGTTACGTGTACAACGCGAGCGCACCTTGCGAGGCTCCCGGAGCTGAATAAACGCGAGGCCCGCTGCTGCGCTGCAGCTGAATCGACCATCCGGTCTCTCTGCCAGCTGAAGCAATTGCCCACGAGCGCGGCTATAGCTGTACGCGTGTGCCGCGGCTATATTCCACGTCACCACGCAAACGCCCGCGTACCACTCAAATTCAACGAGATCGACAATCTACTCTCTGCGTCTAGGTTTATGCTTTTTCTTTATTTCTTTTTTTTTCTTTTTGTAGCCTCTTTTAATCGCGCTTTTTTCTGCTATCGCTTACTCGTTATTTTTTTCCCCGTGGCCTGCAGTTTATCGCTGCCTGCGAATATGCATCGTGTTGTCATCGAACGATGGTTTTTTTTTGTTGTTTTTTCTGGTTCTTTTGCATTATTTTTATGTGACTTTATGTTTTTCTACTTGGAATAGGTATTTTTGCATACGTAGTAAGCATGAAAATGGTAGTTTAAAGAAAAAAATTTGATGCAGGTCTGCTAATGTAAGAAAACAAATAAGCGATCAGCGCCTATCAAAAGAATGTAAATGTAAGCAAACGAACGCACTCGGAATAGATTTGCCGAATTTTTGAGAAACCATTAACCCGAATCTGGTTTGCTATATACGTGCGAAGGGCACTTCTCGAGATGCTAGAGAAAGTTTTTGGCAAGTTTCCGAAGTCGGCTCCCGATCCATTGCCCGAGTCATTGCCATAAATATGCGCGTTCTCAAGATCAAAACATTGAATGTGACCTGAAAAATTCGAATTTTCGCAATTGGTACTGCTTTTTGAATGACTGTATAATTATCCCTTCTCGCTGTATTTTTGATAACTTGTATAAAAATGTTAATGGATATTTGTATTTTGCAGAGCTTTTTTACTCCGTCGTTCGTACATGCGTTCGTAAAAGTTTACAAGTATTGGAGCACTTCTGACGCTTATTACAAACAATAAATTACTAAATGTCAACGAGCAACATAGATGAAAGCACAAAGCTATCTTTTATGCTTTTGTTATAAATAGAACCACGTAACGTACGAACATGACTTCATCTTGCATAAAAAATACACAGTCAATAAATCAATAAACATCGATGTCTATTACGACAATAGAATAGATATTTTCAGTTGATTCAATATAACAATAGAGATCCATTTGCCGGTTGTTACATTTGTATGAAAAGCTCCCAAGCGCTGCAAGCGTCCTCAGATGATCGCAATCAAACGCGGGCTTGATTTATTCGAGACATTTAGCCGCGAAGTAACAATACAGTCTGCTGATTCTAATGTATTAACCCTTTGAGGCCATTTGTACAATCTGGCTGAACGACCGGAAGGCTGAAAGTGCACACGTTAGGATGGGACCTGTGGCATTGAACTTGCTATAAATACTATTGAATACGTAGTGCATCTGATATGCTCGCGCGTAGTACACGGGCGTCTGCAAATGAGGCATTCGCTTGGTTCGAGTGTTATTTAAAGAGAACTTAACGGCAATCTCGTTTGTCAAAAGTTGAATAAAAATCGACGAGTGAGACGAAATATTTGCGGGAAAGTTTCTCGCACAACGACAACCCGCCAACTTTCGTAATCGCTTCTCGCGTCTGCGCATGCTTTCAGAGATAGGGCATCTCCTCTCTCTCTCTCCCTCTCTCTCTCTCTCTGTCTATCTATCTATCTAGGCCATTCTTATTCGGTGAAGCTCCTTTATTCCCAACTTTATATCTCTCGTTTATCCATTCGCATTAGTGGCAATTCTCCTCTCTTTGTCGCGGTCGCCTTTCAATTTTGCGCTTCGCCAGCACATAACAATCTCCCGACGTGGTTTCTCACGATCAATGGTGAACGACAGCTCTCCCGTTCTCAATTATTATTTTTATATATCTCTTCTTTGACGCCGGATATAGAGCGCGACGAAACAATAAGCCAATTTCGCGAGAAACCGGGCGAGTGGGGAAGATGTGATCGATCCTCCAAAGCTACGAGAACTCCATTGGCCGGGAGGGAACAAAGTGCACTACACTCTCTCCGACACCTGCAGCTTCCTCCTCCGACGTAGATGCCGCTATATTGTTTCGCGGCGCGATACGAGATTAAGAAATGTGGACGTGAGATAGCGGAACCAATATCTGCACGAGGATACACTGTCAAATCTCTTTACCGGCGATGCCTCATTTTTTTTTCTATCTCTCCGTCCTCTATTTTTATTGGACACTTTACTCAAGCCCCCAAACAGCTTATAAACGAAATGGGCAAAGTATCAAATATTTGCGCGTCCACGAAAAGTTTAATAAAAATATCTCGTATTATTTTTTACGACTGCGCGGAAAAACAAAGAGCACGTGGCTTTTTACGAGCGGAAAAACAAATAAGATCCATATACCACGGCGAGAGGGAGGGTGAGGGAAGAAGGGGGAGAAGTGAAGAATAAAATAAATGGCGGTGCGCGCAATTTTTCTCGCATCCTGTGGTCTCTGCCATAGTAGCAGCATCCATTCAGTCGTTTCAATTTATACGAGCGGATCAATAGCCATCCCTCTGACGCCCTAAACATTCGCGAGAGAAAGAGAGAGAGAGAGAGAGAGAGAGGAAAAGCGAAAAGAAAGAAGCCTATGTATATACGCGCTTGCGACTCGGCGTTATAGATATATATACGTACATGACTACTGCTGTTCTAAGGGTCGTGATCGCCTCTTTTAATTGCTCGTCGTTGTTTACAACTACAGCGCAGCGGTTCGATGGCTGCATTAACGAGCGCATTGTCGCGCTAATTGCTTCGCGGTGAAAAGATCCATATTCCATCTGGAATTCATTTAGTTGGAGTTTCCAGTGGATCCGGGCCAACGCTGATTTTTAACCCATTTGTGATTCGTATTTCAATATTTTTCGCATTGACTTTCTAGTGTAATTAATTGCAGATTTGTCCCCGTTTATATTATCGATAAAAGAACAATGAATAGATTTAAAATCAAATTATTACATTTGCCTTCATTGGTTTACGAAAGAATCTAACATTGAATAAAGAATCGATAAAAGCTAGGCGTTTATTTGAATCTGGATGTATTAAATCAGCACACGTGCGTCATCAGCCATTATACAAATAAAATGGAAAAAAATACGGATAACAAGCTTTTTCGTTGAAATCAGCTTCCGCTAACGTTTACCAATTGGTTTAAAAATGGATTTCCGCGCGTCGACGGTCATCGTTCGATGCGTCAGATATCACACAGTCATTTTCCCCTGTCGGTCTCAACAACTCGTGACCCATTTTCCGTCGTTATATGCCATCTCAAGATTAAAAAAAAATCGAAATTTTTTTTCATTCGATTAAATTTTAGTAACTTAATTCGAGGAATAGTTTTCAGCTAAATGCGAAAATTCACACTGCACAAATAATCCTTTTTCAGATATTTTCATTACGCTTTGGAAGATTGAAGGATTAAATCAGCTTTATCAGTTTTATGAAACTGATGATGTCTATTACATTTCACACGCTTATCTTTTCTGTCTTTTTTTCGCATTCATTGTAATGCATAAGTATAGATCAAAATTTTTATTGGCAAAATTAAAAATTCAATATGCATTAAATATTCACTTGATTTTCATAAGATATTATTTATTGGTAAATAAATATGCAGTTATACACTTGTGATTTAAGAATGCTATTGATGAAGTTTCAAATTTTTATCATCCCAAATTCTTTTTTAAAAAATCATCGTTCAAAAGTTTAAAAAACACGATAAAAAT